TAGATAGGGATGAATTAAATAAAGAGGATTTAAGAAGAGCAGAAGGAAACATTAGTTCAGAAGAAGAAGGAGCTTGTTTAGGATAGTAGAATTATATATATACTCTAGTATAGTGGTGACTCGACATTAAGGTTTAAGGAACTGAGGGTCACCAATTGAACTAAATTAAAAAAGAAATGTTAAAATGAAAATTATAACATACAATGTAAAAGGTTTGAATTCAAAAGTCAAATGTATTTTTTCCCACTTTCTAGAAAAACAAGATTGTAAAATATCATGTTTACAGGAAACACACATAAAAAAGACAGAAAAGAGACTAATTAAGAATAGTAAATTAGGTAATGCATTCATTTCTGCAAATAATAAAAAAAGGAGTAGTTTTATATATAAATAAACAGATTAATGCTACTGAGGTTTTAAATGATCCATCAGGTCACTACATTTGAGTGAACATAATTTGCGAAGGAGTTAAAATTTTGGTAATAGGAATATATGGACCCCAAGACAATAAGGGAACGTTTTACTCAAAATTAGGCAATGAATTAGATGAAACTGAATTTGACAAATTAATTATATTAGGTGATTTCAATGGAGTAATAGACCCCAAGCTGGACAGGAAATCCAAAAAGAATGATAAGAATCTACAAAGGAAACTTCCATTGACTTTTTTTGAACTAGCTAAAAATCTGGCTATACAAGATGCATGGAGATATCTGTATAAAAATAAGGGTGGTTTTACCTTTTTTTCAAATAGACACCAATCTCTGTCCAGAATAGACATGTTTTGGACCTCCACAATATTATGTAAAGCAATACAATCAATTCAAGTCTTACCAAGATGCTTATCGGACCACAATCCAGTAATAATGATACTAAAGTACACCAACCAAAACAGTATAATTGGAAACTTAAGGATGAACTATTATTGAATCAAAAAGTAGTGGACACAATTAGAAAAAATATTATTTTTTTTTTTAAGAAAATCAAACACCAGAAATAAAAAGTAACATGATTTGGGAAGCTGGAAAGGCAGTATTTAGAGGTTTATTTATTAGTCAAGAAGCTTTCTTGAAGAAAGATAAGAAAGAAAAAGATTGCAAAATACAAAATTTATTATTACAAAAGGAGAAAGAACTTGCAAAAAACCCAGGAAACTCTAATATACGTGAGGAAATAAATGTATTGAAAATACAAGAGGATAGAAGAAACACCCTTGAGGTGGGGAAAAAGTGAAAGGCCCTTAAACATTTTTTTTTTGAATCAGCTAATAAAACTGGTAAATGGTTAGCCGAAAGACTAAGAAAGAAAAAAGTTAAAAGGACTATATTAGAAATAAAGGATGAAGGGCGAAGGATAATGCACCAAACAGACATCAAAAAAACTTTCTTTAGAATTTTCTCTAACCTTTATCAAAACAAAGAGATAGATACTTTGGAAATAC